GAATTTTTTTGTTGGGAGTACAACACAAAAGAAACATAATAAAAAATGATGGTCCAATTGGAAAGCCCACGAGGGATATTGGAGCTAAGAGACAATGGGCTGTTATCCTTCCACTGCCAGGAGTAGGAAGTAATCGCTGCTCTGACAACAAAAGATATAGGGAAAAAAAATACCAAGCCCCTTTACTTATTTTTGAATTTTTTTGTTGGGAGTACAACACAAAAGAAACATAATAAAAAATGATGGTCCAATTGGAAAGCCCACGAGGGATATTGGGCCTAAGAGACAATGGGCTGTTATCCTTCCACTGCTAGGAGTAGGAAGTAATCGCTGCTCTGTTAAACCAGCCTCACGCTTTACCCTCCATTCTAAGTGACAAGACCTCTATTCCTTCGATAAGAGACCTTGGCCCAACTCCGAGCTTGGAACGGACAATCCAAATAAAGCTCCATAAACCAAGCATCGTGGACCAGCCCAACGTCCCATTACCTTGATGCCCCCACTCGGGTGACAAGCCCACGTTACTGAGCTCGGCGAAAGAAATCCTTAGATGGCCATTTATTAATAAAAAACATTTCCAATAAAAATCCGGTGTGGGAAAAGCCCCACTTTCTTTCCCCAACTCGAAACCAATTTAAATTCGCCAAGCTATATCCGGACCCATTGTGACCCGATTTCGCTCGACCCTATTCAATCTCATTTCTGCAGAAATCTTCTCCCTTTCTCTCTCACAGGGAAAAATGCAGGTAAACCCCCCTGAAATAATCTAGTCATCTCTTAATATTTATAATTTTAATATTCATACTTTATTTAAAAAGACATGGATTCGAGAAATGGTTTTCTCACTCATGCGTTAGTACATTAAAAATAGCAATTGTTCACTTAAAATGGTAATTACTCAATTACATTAAATACTTAAATTAAATATTAAATATTTATGTTAAAATGGCCTCCGCCAACCTAATTATGGCAATTAATGACAATTAATATTACACCCGTACTAACCATAATAAATAATAAGACAATTAATGTCAATTAATATTACACCCGTACTAACCATAATAAATAATAAGGCAATTAATGGTAAGTTAATATTACACGGTAATTTTTTTTTGGCAAATAATATTACATGGTATTTGTTTTTTTGGTAAGTTATAATATTTAACGTGATTAATATAATTGGAAATAATTTAAAAAGAAAGTTATACAATTATAAGTTCAGATTCGCAAAATAGGAAATTTTAAGAAATAATAATAATAATAATAATAATAATAATAATAAACGTGATTAATATAATATGGAAATAATTAAAAAGGAAATGGTAAGTTGATATTACACGGTATTTCTTTTTTTGGCAATTAATATTACACGGTATTTCTTTTTTTGGTAAGTTAAAATACTAAACGTGATTAATATAATTAAAAAAATAAAGTTAAAAAATTTTAAATCCAGATTCGCAAAAAAGGAAATTTTAACAAATGGAATTAATATTACACGGTATTAACAAATGGTAATTTTTATTACATTAACAAATGTCAATTAATGTTACACGGTATTAACAAATGGCAATTAACATTACATGGTATTAACAAATGGTAATTGTGGGTCCTTAACAAATGGCAATTAATATTACACGATATTAACAAATGGTAATTTTTGTTACATTAACAAATGTCAATTAATGTTACACGGTATTAGCAAATGAGACTTACCATGATTGCAATTGCAATTTGTTAATACCGTGTGAATTATCGTGTACTATTATTAATGGCAAAAAATGTTACACGGTATTACTTTAAAAACATTATATTATTAAACTAAAAATTACCATTTGTGAAATTGGGAATTACCATAATTGCAATTTGTTAATACCGTGTGATTTACCGTGTACTACCATTAATGACAAAAAATGTTGCACTGTGTTATATTGTTAATAAAAAAGGAGTAAAATGCCAACAAAAAAGACATTTAACAGAGACGCTACAAGTATTGCTTTCCTTAAAAATGAATCATTGCAAAAAAATTTAGTTTCTTTTTATAAATGCTCCTTTGTTTTTATGGAGTATATTGACAAAATGAAAAAAAACAACACAATTAACTCTGAACAAATTTTTTAACCGGAGTTTTGATTAATGTTATTTATATTTTAGTCATGGACAAATGTATGTTGTAGTTTCAAGAGTAATAAATCATAATTACTTGAAGATTCTAATATGCAACGAAGACAGTTTTTTCAAAAATTTATACGAATAATGTGAATTATAAAGTAGTCTTTTAAATATTGTAAATCATTTATCTTTTGTAACTTAAAAAAAATAAAATCTCTATATTCCATTATATACTAATTTATAACATTCAAAACGATGTTAATATAATTTAGTAACTTAAATATATCTCAGGCAACGCACGAGTGTGATACTAGTATTGATTAATATAGGGAGTGTTTTAAATTTCACATCAATATTTAAGTAAATAGAATAAAACTATCTTCCCTTAATCATATTATAAACAAATATGAAATTTGTTTAGAGATAAAGAGAGTAGTTTAATTATATATTCATTGTAAGTATTATTTAAATGAAATAAAGACATAAAAACTGTAAAGATGAATATAAATATCTCTGTTCCTTAACTAGATGTAGTCAATGATAAGTCACATCAATATATTTTATTTAGATCATTTTTTTATAATATAAGTAAAAATAGGGTTAAATATGATTTATACCCTATAAAATAGACAACTTTTGTTTTTAGTCTCTGTAAAATATTTTTTGTTAAAGTCATCCCCACAAAATATTTTATTTTGAAAATAACCTTTAAACGTAACTAGCACTTCTAATTAGAAAAGATAGTACATTTATTTCATACTAAACATCTTAATCTTACATTTGTGATTACGTCCGATAGAATTTCCAAACCCTAAATTGTATAGTTATTCATATGACATATGTCTAGTTCTCAAATTTCTTACGAATATAATAAAAATTTAAGAATTGGAAATGCAATTTGATAAATGACACAATTATTGGCATTGTGTGATTACGTCCGATAGAATTTCCAAACCCTAAATTGTATAATTATTCATATGACATATGTCTAGTTCTCAAATTTCTTACGAATATAATAAAAATTTAAGAATTCGAAATGCAATTTGATAAATGACACAATTATTGGCATTGTGTTTAAAGTAATTGGAAATCTAAAACTAAGTTATTGAGTACAAAGTAAATGTGATATCTCAACAAATTTAAACAAAAAATATATTGTTCAGTGACGAAAAGCAAAGCTTGCCTATTTTTAATGGGCTAAAAATATATTTAACCCTAAAAAATATCATAATAAACAAAAATAAAACTCTCAGATTTTCTATTTGTTCTAAAATAAAAATTCATTTCCTTTTCATTTTTTTCATATATTTCGTAACAGTTGAAATGAAAAATTAAGAGAGGAAGGATACAATAATTGATTTTGGTTTTTTTTCTAAATGCGCAACAACAAAAGAGAGAAGAAAAAAACAGGTCATTTACTTATTATGGATTTTGTGTTGGGGAGTACAACACAAATGAAACATATTTAAAAAATGATAGTCCAATTGGGAAGCCCACGAGGGGATATTGGGCCTAGGAGGCAACGGGCTGTTATCCTTCCACTGCCATGAGTAGAAAGTAATCGCTGCTCTATTTAACCAGCCTCACGCTTTGCCCTCCCATTCTAAGTGCCAAGACCTCTAAACCTTCGAAAAGAGACCTCGGCCCAACTCCTGGTTTGGAACGGGCAGCCCAGATAACACCTCTGTAAGACCCTGCATCGTGGACCGGCCCAAAAGTCAAAATAGACGATTTAAAACGGGACGGAGGGAGTACTATGTTTGGTTCAAGAAAATTGGTGTTTGTTTCACTACTTAAGGAGTTTCACTACTATGTTAATACTATGTTTCACTACTTAAGGAGTTTGACTTGGTCAGCATGAAAAGTGGGTGTTTGTTAATTGGGTCAAAATGCTAAAATAAAAATCTTGACTGAGATAATGGGTAGAATTATGGAGATAATTAAGAACTCAAAAATATCCTTATTCGGACGATGGTATTATGATTAGTAATATGAATATGAGTGAATTCTATAAATGATATATTTATTTATATGTAGTATTCCATATTTTTTCAATCCTCAACTCTAAGATATATACTATAAATGAAAAAACACATGTAGTTAGGGACTGCTTATGTAATTTGCTCTAATAATGTTGAAGTGAAAAATACTGCAAGTTAAAGTTCCTCTTTTATATATGTTAAATCACGTAAAATAAGAGTAAAATATGTTCGTTATCCCAAAATATGAATGACATGAATATTCGTTTTTATCTTTTCTCAAAATAATTTTTTCTAATTAAAAATGTGTATTTGGTCCGTACATATCATATCTTACTTTTTCACTAATAAGCTATTCATCACAACTTAATTACTTGTATCCATCACATAAAGGGTAAAATTGAAAAATCAACCACAAATATATATACACTCTTTATTTTTCTTCAATTCTAAAAGTCACAATAAGTATCGTTTTATGAAATGGAGGAACTAGGAAGTATCACATAATAAATGGAGTAAATTTAGGTACTTGGTGAGTTTAAATGATAATCAACTCAAGTTTTCCTATAAAAGGCCGTAGGGTGTCCTGGTCAAATTGACTGATTATGGAGTTCAGAAAACAACAAGACACCTCTCGTATACTCTTAAAAAAAGGTTGCAGGTGGGCGTAGTTTCATAGTTGAGGAAGAAGTGTTAAATGAATAAACCGAGTTCAATTCTTAACAACTGTATTACTGGAAAAAAATTATGTTAAACATAAGATTTTAAGAAAACCCCTCAAATAGGACTAAAACATAGCCTCTATCCTTAAAGGTGACCTATTTTTACACATTCCAAAAAACACTTCTATTTACATTTATTATAATGTCTAAGATTCACCTCATTTCTCCTTTATTATGGATTTACGGGTAGAAGTTGTTTTGGGTGTATTTTAGACATTAGAACTAAGATAGAAGTGTTTTACGCGGTGCACGAAAAATGAAACAGTGACATCTTTTAGGGACGAAGATAGTATATATTATATAGTTGGTACATTGATCATAACTTATTTTGATCTGATCTTTTGTTGGATGATGGTTCAGAACGAATATCCAACGATGGAGGACGAAGAGTTGTACCGCCATGCGAGGTTGGTGACATCTGCCGTTATAGCAAAGGTCCACACCATTGATTGGACTCTGGAGTTGCTAAAGACCGGTACATTGCGAGCGGGAATGCGCGCAAATTGGTATGGTTTGTTGGGGAAGAAGTTTAAGGACAAATTTGGGCATTTGGGATGCTATGTATTAAGTGGGTTGGTGGGGATGAAGAAGCCCCAAACCAAGGCGTCCCATACTCATTAACGGAAGAATTCACCAGTGTTTATAGCATGCATCAGCTTCTCACCGACATGATCTCAGTCAGGAACATCGATGTCACGCCTAGAACGAACAAGTCTCCTCCCTTGTCTCGAGAGTACGTATCACTTATAAAGAAATCACAAGATTTTATTCGTAGGTATAAAATTAACAATGTTGTTGATTGTAGGGTTGACGTGGTGGATTTGATTGGGCGTAAAGGGGAAGAATCATTGTCGACGATTGGATTTACACGGCAAATGGTGTCGATGGGTCACCAATCCTGTGGGGCACTCGAACTCTGGAACTATCCTTGCTGGATGAGGGATCTCGTGCCCCAAAGCCCCGACGAAATTGAAAGACCAAACCACATTGACCTTCGAGCTCTCGAGGGTAAATAATACTACCTCCATTCATAAAACTTTTCAAAAAGGAAAAAAGACACGCCCTAGAAACGTACGTAGAATTTTGATATTATTTTCTAATTTTGCCTGACAATAAATTTGAATTTGATGTGTATGATATATAAATGAGTCAAAACTAGAAAATAATATCAAAGTAACCCATTGTACCGTGTATAGGAATTGGGAGAGGAGTGTGGCCAGATATAACGACTTCCGCCGGGGGTTGCTCCTGATTCCCATATCCAAATGGGAAGACCTAACGGACGACGAGGAAGCCATAGCTACACGGAAGGAAGTGTACGCCGGTGGCGTGGACGAACTAGACCTTTAAGTTGGTCTAATGGCGGAGAAAAAGATCAAGGGCTTCGCCATAAGCGAACCCGCTTTCGTCATCTTCCTCGTCATGGCTACGAGGAGGATAGAGGCAGATAGGTTCTTCACGAGCAATTATAACGAAGAAACGTACACCGAGAAAGGACTACGATGGGTTGATACGATGGAGAGCCTCAAAGACGTGTTGGACCAGCACTACCCGAGATTACCCGGAAATGGATGAATTCAACCAGCGCTTTCTCTGTTTGGGATTCGTCTCCTGAACCCCATAGTTGCTTTCCTATCTACTTTCGTCTTCTTCGTTAAACCCTAATAAGTATAAATGAGTGCATTTTGTATCTTGAGTTCTAAGGGTATTTTAAGGACTTTGAGAGTGTTTTGATGATTGATATGTTTGTATTTGAATGTAGTTTTAATGTTCCATGGTCACCATATTTGGTTAGTTGCAGAGTGATTTTGCTTGCTTGTTTTAGTAGTTGGAACTAATTTTAAGCGTTGGATATAGTTTCATCAATTGGTATTCTGGAATGGTTTATTTGATCCTTTGGATTATTTGTAAGATCATTTTAGAGAGATCGAAATGATTTTGGATACCTTCAGGCACACCAATTTGTTATCTAAGATATTAGAATATTTACGAATGGGTAGAAAATTGATGTTAGAGCTTTATAAACTTCAAGTATTTAACTATGAGAAATTTTAGTGAGAAGTGAAAAACATTTTAATCTCAATATAACCAAAAGATGCTATTAGAGTTTATTTTGCATACTAAAGTTATACGTCATGAAAAGAATTAGATTTGCCAAACACACATAATTATTACTTTGAGACATAGTTGAAACTAAAAAATTATTCTCTAATACAGCGCTAAACACTCCTTATTCAGAAAGAACAAATAGATTACACACTTAGACCATGTTTTCTTCACCTGATATGAATGATTCTAATCAGATTCGAATATATTTTGATCTAGTCTGATTTGATTGATCTGAATATAATTATATTTAAAATTATTTCTAATCTGATTTAATTAAAAAGAAATAATAATAAAAATAATAAGTTGAAGAGAACATAATCAATGGGAGGAATCGGATGACAAAGGAAATTAGGAAAAGTGGATGGCTAAGTACAATCGAACTTTATTTGAGCCAAATCTGATCCATTATTATTCCTATCTTTTGGCCATCAGCCCACTGTCGACATAAGGTAGGCCGATTGAGAAAGTTCGGCCCAATACTAACCACGCTTTAATATTCATTACCATCTACCCGGCCCACAGGAAAACAGCCTGGGCTTTGTAACCGCCGCTTCCCCGTGAATCTCGAGGAAACTCTGATGGATATACGTCGGCGGCCTATTCTGCGGCGTAGAGGAAGGACGCCATGTCCGAATCCGGCACAGAATTAAGCTTCTACAAACCGAAACACTGCAATCCCGCTAGCTCCGACGCGTTTCTCTTCTGCACTATTCTAGGGTTTCCGATGACCGGAAAACTGGATTCCGACGGTACATTCGTTATTAAACACTAATACAGCATATGTGCTAAGCATTGCCATGCTCTTGCTATTATAATTTTTAGAATTAAGCTATTTGTCCGCCAAAAATTGTATCCCGAAGACATACACTAACATTTTGTGCTAGTGTGGTGGTGTACACAAACACGAAATATCAGTGTAAATTTTTTTGATTGAACTAGCATTTTGTATCTGTGTAAATCGTTAAAATGTCAGTGCATCCTTTTGAGGTACAACTTGAGATACACTTTTTTTGGTGTACCCTACCTAGCATGGGTGTAATATTTAGGTCTCATTTATGGCTTCCTTCATCACTTATATTTAATGCTCTTTTTTTTTATCATTTCCTTTTGTTTGCACTTGGAGTATGGCCATGTGAAGGAACTGTCTTTGAACTGTAATCTTGATGCTCTTTTTTGGGAATATGGTGTGGATGGGAAGCTTATTCTTACACTTCCATTTGTGTGAAATCTCTCCATGTTTTTTAGACAATGCTAGGACTACACTAAAATGGAATACCTCATTTGTACAACAATAAAAAACATACACGCAGACACTCAATGTTTGTGCGTGCACAAACGTGAAGTGTCTGTGTGTGTATGTTTCTGCTTGGTATACAAATTAGGCACCCCATTTCGGGACCATTGTCAACTCATACATTCTCCCTAAGTCTACCCCACAAATTTTTCTACTTTTCCTTTCTGAATGGTCCGAAAGAAATTTCAACTTACCTGATTATCTTTAAGAAATGAACATGTCCCTCACAAGTTTTTTTTTCCACATCCAATCACGCGATTTTCACTTTTTAACGTTTTTTCTTAAATGAAGAATTTTTTAATAGGATAGAAGGACTATTCATCAACTTGCAATAGTTATGGTTTCACATGTTTGGGTTAGTTACTTGGTCCTTTGATTTGAGAGCTGCTGTCTTTCTGTTTTAGTTTTAATGATTGTACACCAGTTGATCATTGAATGAGCAGGTTGATGATACTTGTGTATTTTGGATAGGGTTATTATCCTAGTATAACTTATCCAAATGCAAAGTATATATTTGATAAAGATTTTATGTTTCTTTCTTGTCTTTAATTTGTGCTTCATTTGCCAAAACTGCAACCTTGATTGGCCATTCTTTGTTACTATTTGCACATTTGCTGACAAAACTGAAGAAAATGAGAGGGGGAGAAGGAAAACAAATGCTAAAGAAAATGTTTAGTTTTGGCATGGAGAATAGGAAGGGGAAATGAGAAGAATTGATCAGAACTTTTTAAGTGAAATGTTACATATATTTAGGGCTGGTTAGGCATTGTGTTTTTTTTCTTTTTGTTTGACTTAGCACATAAATTGACACTCTCTTTGATTCAAAGAATTTGGAGGGAAAAAGGAAATAAAATGATAAAGGAAAAGCAAATTTTGTATTTGGTTAGAAAGGAACAAGAAAAAAGAAATTTGAGAAGAAAATAAAAAAGTGAGAAAAATGCATTCACTTTCTTTCTATTTAATTTTGTCGTTTGCTTTTTATGCAGACTGTGTAAGAAGAGTGAAATTCTATTGTTAAAACTTAAGCAGATAAGAAAAAAATTATGTGAACCAAATAATTCTTTCTGGGAAGGAATTATTAGAAAGAAATTTCATGACAGAATTTCTTACAAACAAAAAAGGATTGGATTTTTGTTTGTTTTTGCTTTCTTTTCCTTTGCTTAGCATTTCTCTTAGTTAATGAAAACTTTATTTGGAATATTCGTAAAAACATGACCAATTATTACTTGATTATACGCCCTACTCGTATATCATGTGACTTCCAAAACTATAAAACCACAAACTTAAAACGACCTAACCAAACCCTTATATTTAGACATTTGACTCTTCTTCAATCAAAATATACAAGTTAAAAGGTGTGGACTAATATTTAATATCTTATTTGTTGGGTTTGAACAAATTTTCAATATTCTTCTAATTTTTCTTCCCTTCAAAATTTCCCATATATGTTCTCTTTGACACTTTCTTTTTCTAACATTTTCACCTCCCAAGGAGACCTTTAACTCCACCCAGTCAGCGAAAATTTTGGCTGAAGTTAATGTATGTGTTTCTCTGTGTTGGTGTTTATTGATTTTCTGCTGATAAAGAGTTTTCAACTTAAAAGTTGATTATAACTAAAGTGGAAATGAAATGATTTAAATGATAGATAAGTTATTTGAGAATATTCATAAATGGTGAGGAACAATTTTGTAAATAATTTAATCAAAACAAAAAATTAAAAAATTGGTTAAAATAAGTAAGTGAGACCTACTTTTTTTTGGCTTATAAACAATTTTCACCAACTTATTGCAAAAAAATGTTGCAACTCAAATAACTGAATGAAAATATACTTTTAGAAAATAAATAAATACAATATACCTTATTTTTTTAAATAAATTCAATATACTTCTTAGTAGAGTATATAAACAGATAAATCATAGAGTAATTGCTTTTGTGCTGGAAGTGCTAATTAAACCGACAAGGAATGCTTGATTTGGATGTGTATGGTTTATGGTGAGTAGTCATTTTCTTGGTCTGCCCCATATGATTTAATTATTGATGTTACATTAGAGTTTGTCAGATTGGGAGGGAAAGGTTAATGTGTGGTCTACCAAATCTCACGTTCCAAAAATGTTATTCTCCTTGCACAATTGGCAAAGACAAAGAGTGTCAAGAAAGTAAGACCCGAGTTCGATTCTTGATAACTGCATTGGGTGAAAACTATGCTGGCAACCCGAGTTCGAGTTCGATTCATGGCAAGTATCAGGTGCATGCTTTACTCTTTGCCACCAATCTATGATCAAAATCTAGTTTACGTTCTCTCAGCAACCGTTCGACTTGGTGTGAAGGAGCCGAGCCCTCAGGGATTGGACTCATCTAAAAATATTATCTCATTCTCTAGATGTCGTCGCATAACACAATGGTAAAGTGTGACTTTATTTTTGTGCCATGTGACGAAATCCGAATGAAGGGATTTAATTTTGGGACTCCTACCCTACCTAGCTACTCGCTAGGTGAGTTAATGATTGTTAAAATGTGATTAACAAATTGATACGTACATAAACATGTGATAACGTAGGGAAGATTCTCAATTAATGATGCATATATTTAGAGACTAATTATTAGTTATTAGATGCATGAGGTGGGGTTTGGTAAATAATATTTTCATGAGGAGTATGCTCTCATTTGTAGTAGTAGTATTTTGTGAATAAAGAGCATATTCTTTTGAATTAGTATTATTTCTGTTTTTAAATATTTGTTCAGTTTTTGATTTTTTGTAATTAATCATTTTCAATCTTTGACCTATAATTACATAGATAAAATAAGATTTTGAAAATATTTTATAAAATAAATCATTTTAATTAGACAAAATAAGATTTTGAAAATATTTTATAAAATAAATCTAATAAAACTATTTTGTATTAATATTAAACATCACTTTTATTTAATTTGAGATTACAATTTATGAATATTGACTAGAAAAATTAAAAGTAGATAAATACCGAGAGACATGATAATATTAATTTGGGTCTCTCCAAATATACATGTGAGCAAATTTGCTTTAAGTTTGTTGCCTTGAGTCAAATTGATCATTGTAGTTAAATAAAAAGTATATCAAATTAGTCCATTTTACAAAATTTATATTGATCGCGTTATTGAAACGCTAAATTAACACGTTAATTGACAAAAGTACTTAGACAATTGTCAATTAAGGTGTTAACTTAGTTTTTCAATAGTAACATTAATATAAGTCTCTTTGAAATGTTTGGTAAATATGCGCTTCCATAAAACGACATGTAATTGAAAATGTTAGTTGCGATAGTATGAAAATATAATGGCCCTATTCGGTATACAGAATTGACAGAATTGGAAATTCGAAATTGAAATTCTATGAAATTGACTTGGATTGAATTAAATTTTTCAATTCCAATTCGTTTCTAGTGCTATCAATTCTAAATTTAAATATTTTTGTGCTATCAAACAACAGGATTAGAATTATTGTCTCAAATTTCAATACCATAGTTTGAACTGCTTGTACCAAATGGAATTTTGGGATGTTCCTTCGGTTCTTAAATGGAGTATTCTCGTTTCGTTTTTGGGACTGCACTAAGGTTTTTTTTAAAGGAAAGATTTGTCTTGTAGATTTTACTCCCTCCGTCCTTCTGTATTTGTCCACTTTCATTTTTACACATCATCCAATACATTTCTTTAATCCATTTTATTTTGTAATTTGTACATTAAAAAATTATAAAAATTATATATTAATAATCTATGTGTTAAGATAAATCAAACAAGATCACACATGACTATATTTAGGCTTACACATTGAGAGAATTTGATGAGTCAAAGTGCTTAAATGAACAGTTCCAAAAGTCAAATGTGGACAAATACAGGGGGACGGAGGGAGTATTTTTTTTCTCATTACAATATATGTATGTTCTACCTCAAAAAAAAATATGTATGTTCAGTTTGAAATTTTAAAATGACCTCTTAGCCCTTCAAAATAGGACCTTACAAATCAATTTGATTGTTTGTACTCGTAATTTGTTTAANGGGGGAGAATATAAATACTCGTCCTTCACCGTAACAAGGCTCCGTAGAAATGAGTGGGCACAGCGAGGGGTGGGGTAGGGAGCCACATGGGTGGAGGGATGAACGTGGACCTGTCTAACGAAGGCCCATTAGAATGACACAACCGCATGTGTGGGCCGTCTCGTCCGCCCGATTGCTGTGTGGTCGCTAGGTTGCATTGGGTGGCCCACAGCCCATTCGGTTTTCTGTTTTACCTGTAATCAACTGCTCACTTTGCCCTTATTTTGAAAAGGTAAATTAATTTGCTCATTTAGTGCATGTTTAATCTATGGACTTTGGTATATAAAAGAAAATTTATGTATTGGCATTTGTTAAAGTTATGATATACAACAACGAGTCCATAAAAATTATGTGAAATCGTTCACATTTTAAATGTGGATCTTAAAATTACAATAGCACTGTTTTTTGATATATATTTTTAAAAGATTATAGTTTTTATAATACATATTTATGTATAAAAAAGATATTAATGATCAAAATATTATATTGGAGACTGAAAAGTCAATTGAAAAAAAATTATGAAAGAATTGTTACCCAAAATAAGAATATGCATTCATTTTTTTACGTGCATCTTAAGTCTAGGGGCATGACTACACGATGGAGTTAACACAAAAAATATGACTAGACGAGTATGATTTTATAAAGATTCTTTATTTGTCTTGATGTGTGTGTGCATGCCCATACACACGCAATTTAGAGCCTGTTCTTTAGGAATGGAAAAAAAGAGTTGATTATTGCAAGAAACTGGAAGGACTGGAAGAAACTCGAAAAACTGAAAAAAATTAAAAGAAACTGAAAAAACTAGAAAAAATTGAAAAATCTAAAAAAAGTTTTAAAAATTTTTTTATGTGCGAATTTATATTATTCTCATTCTGATTCTTGTTGTTATAAATTATTATTATTATATTATTGTTGTTGTTGTTGGTGGTGGTGGTGGTACTGGTGGTGTTATCGCGTTATCTTAATGATTGTCTTTAAGATAAAAAAATATTATGAGTATTATTTTTCATATATAAAAAGCTAGTTTAGAAAAATAATTAGAATATAAAATTAACATAAATATTACACTTCTTGGGTCATTTTTTCTTTTTCAAAATGTAGTTTTCTCTTGCTTTTCATAATGTAGTACTCCCCACCATATTCCATACTTTATATTTTAGATTAAAATATTGATGTTTACCTTATATAAATTTAGATTAAAAAATATTCTATATAACTATTTGTTCATAATTTTTTAAATAGTTTCCTATTTTTCATGTAGATTAATATACAAAAAACGGTATTATTCATATTAAAAAGTTGAAGAAAAAATAATAATGAATGTGGATCATAAAAATAGTGAGATGAAAAAATGAAATAATTTATAAACTATAATTATGCACATAAAAGTTGTAATTAAAAAAAGTTGTAATAATAATAACAATATACTCCTTTCGTCCCAAAAAGATTTACACCTTTCAAAAAATTGTGTCCCATAATCTCCTACCCATTTCTATTAAAAAACCACTTTTACCCATTACTTTTTCAAACCCTACCTATCACATCATACATTTTTTCCTAATAATCTACACATCACATCCTACTTTTACTCATCACATCAAGGGTATTTTTGGAAAGTCAACACAAAATTATCTCTCCTTTAATTTCAACTTTAGTCAAAACGTGTAAATCTTTTTGGAACGGACGAAGTATTTTTTAGAATGATTTGTGAGAAAGTAGAAAGAATTTGAAGAAAATAAATATAGTTGGAAGAAATTAGAACAAATTAGAAAAAACTGGAAGAAACTGGAAAAAAGTCAAAAAACTGGAAGAAACTAGAAGAAACTGGAAGAAACTGGAAAGAACTGAAAGTTAAGAGTTCAAGCTCTAAAGAACATGCCCTTGGATGTTATATGGAACTAATTCCTACTACCTATTTGTTTATTCTTATCAGAATTATATCAGATCATATCAATTAAGATTAGATCATATTTATTTAGATCAGATTAAATCCAATCAAATCAGATCAGAGTCACTCAGATTAGATTAAATCATCCTCGCAAAATTTAGTTCAGATCAGTCGAAGAGAATGGAGCCTAAGACATTTTTCAAAGAAACAATTCAAAAGCTCAACTTTATATATATATATATATACACTTCGGATCAAGTGAGAATGTGATCTAATGAAACAAATAAGAATGCGCCTCGTGCATTAGATGTAAGATTTAAGGGCTTGGAAAACTCAAAAAAACAGAAAGAATCATAAAAAAACCCGGTGGTATTATGTTAAATAAATTGAAATTTATAATCGAATGTGAATATCTAATAGGTATTCGATACTTGACAATGTGACTATAACATCCAAACTCGCGTAACGCGAATAAATAAGTTAATGAATCGGGTTGTTACTATATAATGGTATCCAAACACGAATCATTATTAAAAACAATTTAAATTAAAACAAATATCTAAAAATATAATTTCAAACATATCATCTCCATGCCCTCAACGTCTTCTAGGATTAGCTTCGGCTTCAATTTGATCTTGATTACCTACGAGCAACAAAAGAACAAACACCATGCGCTCAGCATTGAAGCTAAGTGAAAAATATTTAATATTTAGTTATACATACATACGATCCCACTAGTTCATAACTTCACACGATATCATACACACAAGTTCATAGGGAATATCAACATAAAAACATTCCAACCATAAACAACCTCAATAATATGAATATTATATTATTGTTACTTTAGTCACTGACTTTCTTGGCTCTTAACCTATTCTAGATTTAAGATTATATTGATTCTAACTTTCCTATAGGAGTCATGACCTCCCCCTTCCGAACGAAGATTAAGCTCAACCAACTCAGGAGTTCCTCGTTGGGCGGGTGAGATCACTGTCACCTTCGGAACGACAGTTCATAGATTCTCGTGCATACGTTTGTACTCAAATAGCCATTGGACTCAGCAGCTGCCACATGACTATAATCTTTCAATAATTATGGTATATCTTGCCTTTATTCCTTTCATGTCAAATCCAAGAGTTTTTCTAGGTTTATATGCTGTTCTAACGTCATACTACATTCACAAGTGCATATCTTATCAGATAAGCATAATTACATCTAACGTAAACAACATGATCAAACATCGGCCTAGCACTGGGTGTGAACATCTATGCTTACCGTCATGCAACATACAAGGCCTCGGAACAAGTCGTCAATTGCAAAAACAAACTAACGAACAAACTTTGGGTTCCACGCGGTACATCGTCCGTTACTGGGGTACCGGTACGATACCTGGGTACTGTCCAACGGTATAATCTTTATATTTTATCAACGAATATTTAAATTGAACTTCAGGTATGTCTCAAAAATTAATTAATTCTGATAGGCCGGACTTCAGGGCATTACATCGACAAATGTTAATACTGATATTTGAATAATAATAAGGAAAAATTATCCAAAATAATCTCAACTTTACCCAGTCTTTCAAAAATAATCTCACCCTTCAATGTGATGCATAATAATCCGAACTTAACTAAATTTTGCGAGTTTTGGGTCGCTGTTAAGTTTCTAAATTAACGTATCACTTCTTATTTTTTTGAAAAAATTATCTACAATAATTCTAACTTTAACGGACGGCTTGTAGATAATTTTTTAGAAGTGATACGTTAATACTTTGTATATAATGTTTTCTAAAAAATAAGAAGTGATACGTTAATACTTTGTATAGTGCGTAAAATATTAAAACCCACCCGTATATTTTTATTTTATTTATTACCAATTTCAAGATGGTTTCTATTGATTACCTTATTTATTTTATTACTTTTGTCTCATTTTAGTTACATTTCTCATTTTTTATTTTTTTATATCTATTATTTTTTTTAAGCTAAGACTAATCTTTAAAAAAGGAAAAAGAAATGATGATGGAGGTAGAAAGTAATTTTAAAAATTTAAATGAAAAATTCAAAAAAAAATAAAAAAATGAAATTTCGTAAAAAATAATCCCAACTTTCATTTTGTTGCCCAAAATAGCCATTTCCGTTAACCCTCCGTTAGAAACTTAACGACGACCCAAAACTCGCAAAATTCAGTAAAGTTCGGATTATTATGCATCACACGGAAAGGTGAGATTATTTTTGAAAGACCGGGTAAAGTTGAGATTATTTTGGATAATTTTTTCTAATAATAATAATAATAGTAATTATTATTGTTGATGTTGTTACTCCGAATTATATATTAGGAAAATTCACACCATTACTCCCAAAATTTCACAATTTCACATAAAAATTCCGAGATTCAATAAATGACACAGATATACTCCTTGAATTTTAATATGTTTACGTCGGTGCTCCTAAAGTTGATATATGTTTATCTCTTTGCTCCAAGTGTTGGGGCACCGATTTAAATTTATGTCAATGTTGGAGCAGTAATGTAAACATATGAAAGTTCTGGAAGCATCAGTGTTATTTATTAAATTTTATACTCCCTCCGTTTCTTTAAACTTTCCCATTTTGACTTTAGGCTAATTAAAAAAAGAAAGTATAATTTTGGTTGACTTTTTAATTTTGTCCCTGATGTGACGGGTAAAAGTAAGATGTGATAGTTTGGTTATTAGTGAAAAAGTATGATGTGATATGTGATTTCATATATCGTACAACCAGATGTACCTAGAGATAGGTACATCCGGGCAGTACTTATTCTGAAGTATAGTAGTAGCCATTCTCGCACAAATATAATTAGCGTGGTACTCATTCTAAAATAATGCAGTACTCATTTTCACACATTGGTTCAGTATAATTATAATATTCATCTACAAATAATGTAGTGTTCATTCTGAAACAAAACAGTACTCATTCTCAAATAACTTAGTATGCATTCTCATGTAAAATAAAATCCATACCATGAATAATTTCTTTCTCTCCTACGCCACCCGACCCGACTAGGGTTTTTTATCCAGCACCGATCATCAGCTTCCTCGGTCGAGGAGCACCTCTCCTTTCATACAGCAGCCTGACCCGATTAGACCTCTCCGTTCTTCAATTCCGATCGACGCAGCCATTAGCAGCTTCCTCGGCCAATGAGCACCTCTCCTTCCATACAGTAGCCTGACCCGACCCGATTAAACCTCTCCTTTCTCCTCCGATTCTGATCGATGTAGCTCTTCTTCTTCTTTCTACTTACCAGTTGTACCCAAAATTGGGTACAACCGGATGTATAATATAATTTGTCTGTGATAGGTAGGGTATGAAAAAATAGAGGTAAAAATAGTTTTTTAATAGAAAGTGGAAGTCTTTTAAGGAATTGAAAAAAAACGAAAAGGATCAGATCTTATGGAACGAAGGAAGTACTCCGTAGTATTTATATGAAATTATGAAATTTTAAAAGTAATAGTGTGATTTTTTCCTATATTATTGTTGTTGTTGATGGTGGTGTTGTTGTTTTTATTGTTGTTATCATCATCATTATTAATACTCTTATTATTGTTGTTGTTGTTATTTAATTTCATATTTTGTTCATTTCTACCACCGTCTCCCTTGCTCAAAGTGGGATCCATTTTCCTCTCTAAAAGATTTACTTGTCCTTTAGCTTGAAAAAAAATTTGCTCAAATGATATGGGAATGGGATAACCTTTGGGGGTCAAAAAAGAAAACACGGGGTGGTCCATTGCCAGTAGACAAAAACATAATCCAGTTCTGATATATTTATGGAACTTCATTAATTATACGAGTATCATTTGATTTTGATTCATTTTATACCAGGGATCGGAGGATTAATAATATTATAGTGTTTAAACTTGAGATTAGGGTTCTTTGTATCCGATCCCATCATGCATGGAATCTTAATCATCCTTAAATCTCTATTATATTTCATCCCCACCTAACTTTGTTTAGCTCTTCAATAATTGTTTTTTGAGTAATTTAAACTAAAACATAATGACTTTCTCAATATAAGACCATATGTTTTTATTTCTCAAAGTATGACCATTGGTCATTATCTATTAGTCATTATTCAACTAAATGTTCAGCATCACTTGGACATTATTTTTCTCACTAGTGATTATTGAGTCATATTTAGAGAATTAAAAAGTTTAAGTCCTACATTGAGAAATGAGTTATGTTTTAGTCCTATTCAATGCAAATTTCACTTGTTTTTTATGATATGATCATACTCACTTCCTCCCTAGTTATGGTTTGAACCGGTTGAACCGGGGCAACAACTAGCCTTATCAATATATACTTGATGGGTATATCCCTATACCCGACCCAGACAACCAAAAGGGACAGGTTAACTCTTCGATTGGGACGGGTCAAAAGTTGACCGGTCACTTCCTTCAAGAAAGTGACCGGTCACATTTTGGGCGATAGCCAAAATGTCGCCTCATGTTTCGAAGGACATTATAGAGGACCAGAGGGACGGGTTGAGCGCAAGAAATGACCGGGTAACCTTTGAGAAAAGGCGACCGGTCATGTCACTTTACTTTGCAAACATTGATCCAGTCTCTCAGGGATGGCGAACCACGTCAAAGGTCAAGGGAACACCCCCGCTCATCCATCACGAGGCACACAGTGAAAGGGATGTTTGTCATTTTGCAGGGTCGATTGGATTGAGAATATCCATTTTAGTCTTTGATTGAACAGTGCTTTTTGGTTGTATTAGTAGCAAGTCTATGATTGTACAGTGCTTCCATTAACTACAGTGACCTTCCCACGGGCTTCCTATTTTGTCCATGAATGAACATGGGAAGGTTACAAATCCTCCTCTATAAATATGATGATTGTGGATAGATGAGGGGATCCAATTTTTTCTCTCACTAAAGTTCACTCTTGAGATAGAGTAAGAAATCATCCTATTCTTAAAAGCAGGGGAAATTGCCCCAGCCATTTTCCCGCCCAATTGCACACGCATTGTGATCCGTAGATTAGCATCAACATCTTGATCAACGGATGCTATTGGTCTTTGAAAATAAATCAACGTTTCCATATATAATTGTGCAATCAACAAATAGTAAGAATAAAAATAACATTTCCATATATAATTGTGCTTTCAATATATAATGATTACCTTATATAGCTTTTGTATAATATACTGTATTAATTTAAAAAGAGGGGGAAATTTTTTTCCTGCCTAAACGTGAGAGAAAAAAATAGAAAGTTTTTTGTATGTTACTTTATTGCATTTATTCTAAGCATTAATACTGGTAAGTATTACTTAATAAGTACTATATTGTCATTTTTTTTGGGAGAATATAAAAATGTCAAAGCAATATATAGAAAGTCCGTGTACTTGAGTAACATGTGAGTAAGCATTAATAATTGTAAGCATTGATTAAAAAATTTTATGTTTCCATGTTTTTGATTGGGTGAATATAAAAAAATATATACTGCTAGGCTGATTATATTTTCTAATCTAAATATAAAAATAAGAAAAAAAATTCCAACATCAATAAAGAAATTATTTTTTCTACATATTGGTAAGTATTAATTAAAATCACTACGCTTTCTTTTTTTTGTTGAGATGATAAAAAAGTATATTCCATAATTCTACGTTATCATTTTACTAAAAGGCTAGCTTAATTAATATTTCTAATCTTAGTAGAAGAATACTGGTAAACATCAATTAATAATTAATATGTTTCCATTTTGGTTGGGAGGATACAAAAAATATAATGGTAAGCATTAACTAAAAATTATTATGTTTCCATTTTTGGCTGAGATGATATAAAATAATATATAGCGTATATCTAAGCTACCATTTTTAAAAAAATTCTAGGATGATTATTATTTCTAATCTAAATACGAAAATAAAAATAAAAAATTCCAAAATCAATAAAGAAATAATTCTTTTCATACATATTGGTAAGAATTAATTAAGAGTGATAAGAGTTT